ACAAACGTTTCTGCCGTTAAAGAAACTTGGGCGATGCCCTTCTAGGTTAGTTCGATTTCTGTGGTACCTGTGAAGCGGCCTGACTTAGCCCACAGGGTCTCTCCTATGTGTAGGACATGTGCCATTAGCAGGTTGTATTAGAGAACAGCTACACGTATAACTTACCATGGCGAACAAGGAATACTTGTGGTGTTAGGGCTTCTTAGTTAGACATAGAGGGACGTTGCAATTGACAAACAGAAGGAGGGGCAAAGCTCAAGGGTCTAAGGCAATTCGACGTGCTGAGTTGTCACGTGAGCCTCTTCTAACCCACATTTGTCAGGTCGGGTCGTTCAGGATGGTGCGCCCCTAACTCTAGCTATCTATGCAGTACGGTGCACAAGCATCTTCCTCTTAACACTTGCCAAGTATATAGCCAGCATGTGCGTATATAAAACTATGTTGTGAGTCGACATTGAGATATTAAGAAGGTTAGGTGGGCACTAAGAGAGTTTTACCCCGCTCTGAAGGCGCTAACCAGATCAGAGGCCAAGAAGCTCTCATTGACTTTTCTTTGAATAGCATATAACTGAAAAGAAAGAATCAGCATATTCAATATCCCGCATTCCTTCAATGGTTCTTTTCCCTTTGATATTTACCATCTGTTAACTATGGTAGATTGTTCTACGAAAATTTTCAAAAAAAAGATGGATTAAGCAGTTTAAAAGAGACTGCAGTAAATCCAGACATACTTATTGACAGCTGTGGTGGCGCTGTGCCTGGATTTTTCATTTTTTCAGTTGATTTGGGGGCACATTCAATGAAGGACCAAGCTAAGACGATGGACAACATCATTCTTCAGCAGTGCGTCAAGTCAAGAAAGGTATGGAGGACCAGCATGTAGTCAGGTGTTTTTCAGGTATCACTACTGCCTAGACCAATCGCTGCCTTGCGCCAAGCTTTATCCCCTGCACAGTTGCTGGGTTTAGGTTGTGATCCTTACTACGTTATATTTCATGCTCTTTACTAAAGCCTTGGAAACGATGTCTACAATCTTACTACTTACAAAGAAACTCCAAGATGCAATCGATACAAGAGCTTGAATTGACAACGGAACTTGACCAGATGATTTCATCTTTACTACGTGATGGCAGGTTGGAAACGTATGCACGCGGGGCATCGATCACATCGCCATCATATGCGACATTCAATATCGATCGACACACGACCATTCGGG